GTGTGAAAAGAAGCAGTAAGAGAGACTGGAACATTTCGATAGACGTAGCGAGTAATAGAAAGAGAAAGAGAGTGAAAGAGATCAACTGAGAGAGAGAGAAGCAAAACGCGCGTAGAAAAATGAGAAAGAGAGAGAGAGAGAGAGAAAAAGGGGGAGGGGGAGAGAGAGAGAGAGAGAAAGAGAGCGAGAGGGGGATGCAAGAGTAGGAGCACCACGCGCGAGTAGCGAAAGCTGCGCAAAAAAACCGCAACGCGAAATCCGGACGCCTCGGAAAAAAGGGGCAAAAAGCCAGAAAAAAATAGTGGAACGCTCAACCCCGCCGGCGCACCCCCTTGCCATCCGGCGGTCCGATGGGGGAAATGAAATCGACAGGGCGTCCACCTATCGGTCCGATGCCACGTACACAATCCAGCGCTTGCATGTAGCATCCTCAACACATGTCGGCGGATTGCTTTGTCCACGTGCATTACGATACACCAGAGCGAACGCCCCCGCTGAGCACACACATTTACGCGTTCTCTCTTTCTCTCTCTCTCTCTCTCTCTCTCTCTCTCTCTCTCTCTCTCTCTCTTGCTCTCTTTCTCTCTCGCGGGCGTTCCAGCCGATCCATGCGCTGGTGTGTTGACGGCGCGTGTGTACCCCGACATAACTAAACAAGCAACAAGTGACCTTAAAATCTACGAATAAAAATACCGGCCACACTGATCGGATATCGTGCGCAGCTGCAACAGAGGCGCGAAGGGGTGAAACTGGGTGAGGGATGCGCATCGCCGCGCCAAGGAAGCTCGAGTAATTGCATACATCTAGAATGCAAACATTATATTGAGAAAAATAAAAAAAGGAGAGAAAGAAAGAGAGAGAGAGAGAGAGAGAGAGAGAGAGAGAGAGAGAAAGTAGCGGCAAGATGCGTCGTGGAGAAATGTATCGTGGATTAAAAGTGAACGCGGCTGTTCTGATTGTAACCGGTCCATTCTCTACTTATTCTCTTCTTTTGTCAAATATAGACGCGATTATTACAGCAGGTTAACGAGCAAGCGCTGCCCAGCTCGATTTCCTCGTTAATACACGCTAAATACTGAATGCGGAAAAGCCTGTTAATGCATTCCGACTTTTCCGTAGAGATTCGTTGTTTTAATTGATGCGTAAAGCGCATTGGGATGCAACAAATAATTTCACGGCATTAGAGGAAGTATTATTGTAGGATTGACGGAATAAGACGATAAAGAACTATTCATCGATTCGAAATTGAATTAAAAAATTTATCACAATCATATTTCTCGTATATTTTTAGCAATCACTAAAGTAGTACAATTTTAATAAAATTGGCTTTTGAAAATATCTCTAATAAAAAAAAAGATTTTACTTCGTATTATGTACTAATAATCATACTCATGTTAGATTTGAATAATTGCTCTTAGTTCGTAATTTCACTCAGCCTAAAGACACGTAAGATATAATTGCTATGATATCACTTTTCCGCGCTCGCTGCTGCAATTATTAACGTTGAGAGAAAAAGTAGACGTGGTCTTCGTAAAGAGGGCGAGTTTCTTCTCGCAGCACTAGCATAGTAAGAAGCAACAAGTGACCTTAAAAACTGCGGAGATAAAAATACTGGCGGTTGATCGAGAGTTTTGTACGCCGCCGCTGAGCCAGCGGTAGATTGGGGTATGATTGGGTAAGTGGGCTTTTCGGGGTTGGAGTTAAACGGGATGGAGGAGGGAGTGTGTAAAAAGTGGTATAACACTGAGACGCAGGTCTGAACCGAGCACACTGTTTCGTAGTTTAGCCCGTTTATTCGCATATAGTCATATCGTGCTATCGATGAAAATACCTCTCTGTTACTGGAAAATCGCTTTTAGTATGTTGAACCTTTGAGGAAAATATGTCGTTTGTAGTCAATAATTTTAGCTTAAACGATTATAGTTCCAGCTATGCAGTAAACAAAAAAAAAATAAAATTAAATATTGTTAGAAAACCATCATGTCCTCTCACGTTTTCATAGGCGTTTCATTTTTGATGTTAATTTTGATATTTGATATGCATCGTAACATACAAGGAAATACAAGAAAAAGTTTTTGGTTTTTAATTAAAGATATTATTCCAAACTTTTCATTATTTACGTATGACGAATTATACTCGATGGATGATCATACTTTAACATGATATAAAATAGCTGATTATTTAAATATTTCAATTATCATAATGATTAACTTTCATCTACAAGTCAAAAAATATTGTATGAAAATTATATAAAATTTTTCAAAAAGTAATCAATTCCAATTACATCGAGCTGGCATAGCAAATATGAAAGACTTATAGCGCAATGTGCGATCATTAGAGCAAAGGTGATAGATTCCAACCCCTTTTCTCGTTAGTTCCGCCGGCGACCGCCTAAGCAGGAGCTCGCCACTGTCCAGCAACCCTTTCACTACCACGCGCCGTTCTCAACCCCTTAGTACGCACGTACAGGCGTCTACAGACTCGCGGCGATTTTTCTTCGGCGTACTACTACAACCTCGCCGCCGGCGCTTCTCACCACCACAGACACGGACGCTCCATACGCGCGCAATACAGAGATGGCGAGATTGAGCGTGTCCTCGTTTCGCGTATCGAAAGGGTACCGGAGCCTCTCTTTTGCCGGCGATCGCGCATGACCGAGCACGCTCGCTGTCTCACTCGCACCTCTTCCATCCTGACCGACTAAATTATAGGTCCGCTCGCCTTGTTTATTCACGCTTAATTACACGAGAGCCTCGCGATGCTCCGTAATGTACGCGTTGCAGTTGAGAGAAAAGAAAAAAAAGAATCGTGATCGATGTAACATCGAGCGATCCGATATGATAAGATACTATATATGATCCTCTTTCGAAAAGAAGATACTCGATCCTCGAGTTCGATCTTTTGTACTGAGGGACAAGAGCGCGAAAGCTTTAAGGAATTTCCTTTCTCCAAATTTTGAGTCTCTAATTATTATACAAAACCTTCGGGTCGAAGGTGAGTGTTCGAGATATCTCCGATACGTAAGTATACGTACGAGTATACCAAACGCACACCATCGCCTCGGAAATACCGATGTTACACCTCGTGGTATCCGCATGGCTCACACGTATGCAGCGAGTCCCGTCAGTGTGATAAAACGCGGTCGCTCTCTCGCACCTGTTCTCGCCGCGTCTGTCTCTCTTCCTTCGTGTATACCTTCGTAGGGTCGGTGGTCAGCTTGGCAGCGGGAGGCATTCTCTTTCTCCCTTTCTCTTTCGCGCTCCCTCCGTCGTCTCCGCCGTTTCCGTCTGCGTTGCGCTACCCCACCGACGCGGCAGAGCTTTCCTCTCTTCTCCGCAGCCTCCGCAAGCTCCGTCTTCCTCCTACGATCGCTGTCCGGCGCGTCTCGAACGAGTTCGGTGGCGCTCGTATCGTTTCGTCAGTGCATCCTTGTTGCGCTCGAGCCTTCGGGAAAAGAGAAACAACGCGACCCGTCTCGCTCTTTCATACGCGACTCGCCCCTGCCGACCCCTGCCCACCACCCAGTACGTCTACTAACGGCGATTCCGTCGCGAGTTTACATGATCGGGATCTTCCTCGTCGCACCGCCGATTCTCCCGTTGCTATCATCCTCCTCGAGACTCGTTCAGGAGCGCTGATGAGGCTATCGTCACCCGGGGTAAGACCGGATATCTTTGGATATCTTTCCGATTGAAAATCGAATAACGTCATTCGAAAAACGTAGCATTCCAATCTTAAGCTTTATATTCAAACGTATTCGTCGTATTAGACAGCGCGATTACGTTCAACATCGTACGGTACGTAGTATTGTTTGAAGTAGATCTCGAATGAATTTCGTTATATATCGAACGCCACGTCATATATCGAACATCTCGATCTTGTTTCGATTTTACCGCTCCGGCGCGAATGTTGAAGTGAATCGTAGTTAACGCAACCTGGACTCTCGCGCGAAAAAAAAAAAACGCCCGATCGCGTAGATCTTAAGTTACGGGCGAGCAGTACGGCATAGCGTTAATCGACGTAAACGGCGTCTCGCATAAATCTTCAATTTTACCGCTCCGGGCGGTCGGGTTCCCACGTAGAGCCAGCGCCAAGGGGCGGTCCTGCTCCCGCGGCACTTTTCTCTGTCCCTCTGCCCGGCTCGGCTCGGCGCGGCGCGGCGCGGCGCG